CCCCCCCGCTCTCTCGCTTTTGGAAGCTGCGCAGAAAACTTTTCTACCCTTAAAAATCCATGAAAGTGATTTTCCAAGCAGAAGCCCGACGCGGCCCCTCCCGGCTGAGAGGACACCCGCCCTGCCTCCCTTTGCTCGCTTCAAGCGGCAAAGAAACAATCTGGACAGATCGGGAGGCCCAAAATGTTGTCTTAAAAGGCCTTTTACATTAGGAGGTGCAGATGTGCAACCATGAAAGCTTTTTTTCAGCAAAACAATGCCCTTCAAAGTCAAAAATCTCGGGTGGGGGGCTTTGTTCAATGGGGTCGGTGGTCCCTGCCATTTCCAAATGTTTATTTAATGGCCCATGGCTGCAGAGAGCTTGCAAAACACGGACCCAGAGGCTTGCAGAACTTCCACTTGACTTTCTGGCATGCTTTTGCTCTTTTAGCCCAGGATGTGGTCAAAACTCAGGCTGTTGGCTTAGGATCCAGGCATCATCTGAACCCAGAAAATGCATTCATGCCATAACCAGGTCAAAGAGGTTGTGTGAACAGAACTACTGTAAACGTAGCTATGCATCACGCTATTCCTGTTCCGGAATTAATGCAAAGCACAGAAAAGGAGTCGGAATAAGCCAGAACAGGATACAAGAGGAAATAAAAGGAAATGTAGCTAGAACTCTTTTCGCTGTTCGTTATATCTCTCCTTGCCTTTCTGTCCTGGCAAACCTTCTTTTCTTCCACCGCCTCTATGGGGCCCTTTACATGTTTAATTAATTATAAAATCTTTACTCTAAGAAGACTCAAAGTGAGGTATATAGAAGCAGCCGTAACAAAATACCAATGCAGTTGAAGAGATCATTAAGAAGCCTTACAGCGCAGTATAAACATAATGCACAGCACAAGCCTTCAACTTTGAGGCCCACAACAGAGCCTGATCAGTCCTTCAAGGCTTCTCCCACGGAGCGGAAGCCACGGTTGCGTTGGGGAGAGGGAGGGGGCAGCCAGGCCCAAAGGAGGGGAGACCCCAGACAGAATGCCAGCTCACCGAGAAAGGTGATGGGGCATAGATGCCCAAGCCTTGGCCACCGTGGTGATAACCAGTCCACGGACTGCCCTGGGAAGCCCAGTGCCAAATCAGCTCCCACATAGCCACGGTCCATGGCAGGAAAGAGACTGCCCATTAAACCCAAAAGCCGCTGCCGTTGAAATGCCAGGGCAGTCTCCAAGAGTAGCTCCACGGATGGCGACTTGTAGTAATCTAACTGGGAGATGGCAAGCAGCCGAGTGACCTCCTTCAGAGCCTCCTGCTTTAGGTAATCCCCCAACTGCTCATCAGTCAGAGCGGAGCACACGTTGGCTTTCGCCTCCCAGATTTCCCAACTCGTTTATGGCTCCAGATGGTCCAGAGATGAAAAGCATGGGCCCGTGACATGGTCCAAGG